CATCTCTCCAAATCCGCAGGCTGCAGCCCCCCCAGTGCTTGGCAGTGAGTTTCATCTAGCTCCAGGGAGACCTTTCTTTGTTGGAGTGAGAATATTTAGCAAAGAACATCCCTCAAAGACCAGACTACCATTGCATTTTGGACCTGAACAAACCTAGACAGCTTTCATTCTCTTCTCAATGTGAGCTGTAAAGTCTGCAAGAATCTCAAAGCACTGTATTAGTCCAAGAAACCTTTACAGTAAGAGGTATCAGGGCAACCAGGTTAAACAGGAATTATATCTACAATGAGGGATGTTTCTTACTGGTGTAAATCAGCTTTCTCCAGGGCTGTCTTAACCCAGAGACCCTGGGCACGATGGCTGAACGTATGCCGTTCTCCATGCGTGCGACAGTCTAGTGAGGTCGGACTTATGGCATGTGCCAGAAAAGCAATGCATCATATGCAGCCTGGACTCCCTGCACACACCATGCAGAGCTGCTCTGTGCATTAGCAGCAAGCTAAATTAATTGGACTATTTGTGTGCACATAGAGTAAACTCCGCAGCATGTACACTGCAAGTCCAGTTTGTCTGGAATTAGACCCAGCACCCATCTATGGAATCCATCTCCCAGCCATCCCAGAGCAAATCTGCTTTGGGGACAGGCTTACAGCAATGTCGGTTGTTCCAGCTGCCTTTCTGTTGTTTTTCATTCGCTTCTCATTGTTTTATAGCCCCTCTCACCTGTTGTCTTTGTCCTCTTCCGTCCCTTTCCTGCCTGCTCTCTGGCACGTGGCAGGGAGATGCCATGCATGCATCACTTCCTGAGCCACAGTGGAAACATCTGGAATTCTGCACAGCTTTTACAGTGCTTTGAGCTCACCAGCAAGGTTTTTTACCCAAAGAGTTGCACTTTTTCTTCCAGTAAGTCCAGCTTTGATATGTATCCAGTCCAGCCAAATGAGCTTCCTGACAAAGTGCGTTCCACAGCTAGCATTTGCTCACCCAAGGACACCACCCTTTGCTATGTACGTGGAAGGGTTTTTTTTAATCCTGCTGTCCTGTGGCGGAGTGAGGTATTAGGCCATGACCCTAATAAATGGTCTGACTTTTTGTGGAGCAAAAAGCCCTGGCAAGTGAAAACTGCATTAGAAAACACCCTTTCACCTCTCCCAGGAAACCCTTTCTTTCTATGGGAATAGTCAAGCCTTGTAAAGGAAAGTTCTTGTTATTTAGGTTAATTAATAGCTAATTGCTTTGCTCAACAGTGGGGAGCTGGGCTAGATCCCAGTCAGGAGCGTGGCTACTTAAGCCCAAGTTGAGAGTTGCTAACCTGGAGTGAAACTCAAGTGTTTCAATGCAATACCACTGCAAGGGAAAGTTGGTGCTCACGCTGCTGAAGGGGTTGCCACGTTTGCTTTGCCCGTGTGGGATCAGCATGACATATGTTACTGTTACATTTGTAAAGCTGTCATAAATAATTAGCGTACACTTTCTACTTTTGAATAATCCTTAATAGCAACTTTCATTCCCCTGAATGACCTCCAAAGAGGAGCTTTGCTGATAATCCAAAGAAAGCAGCCCAAACACCTCTCTTTGGAAGCACTGTCCTCAGCAAATTAGACACAGAGGCCTTTGGAATGGTGGTCTTTCCGAATGTCTGCTGGTTTTATGGAGGCTAATGATGTAACTGAGAAGCAGCGTCTGCACTTTAGGTTGAATTCAGACATTTTCCATGCTAAAATAATTCCAGCTGTTTCATTTGCTTCCTTTTCCTGTAGATTCCATTCTGATTGATGTATTTCATACTGACAGTTTTTACAGATACTGGCACTGGTCAAACAGAATTCCTGACCAAAATCCAGACAGGAATTTATTGTAAAATAGTATCTGTCTTTCCTCACCAGCTGCTGCTCATTTGGGGTAGCAGGAAAGGTGGCTTTAAATTTGTATTTTAGTTACACAAAGTTAGGTTAGGGGGTTTTTTGCATTTTCAAATAACTAAAATGGAAATCCAGGTTAGCTGTCGCGTATGAACCGTTCAGATTAGTGGAAGCAGGAGAAGAGGAGTGAATGAAGCGCAGGGGACCAGCCCGTCTCTACAGGCAGCAGTAATGTGTGCACAGAGCCCCTAAATTAGCTTGTCCTGGCTCCTTAGTGTAACAGGAAACATGCTGTAGGGTGTCAAAGAAAAAGGTCTTCTGGGTCAGAACCTGGCATTGTCTGTCATCCCAAGAGCAGCTCTTGTTCCAGCAAAACTTTGAGGTTTGCTTGGGACCGGTGATAGAAGCTGCAGTGGCCTTAGAGACTTTGTCCATAGCTGCAAAAATACACTTCCTCCTGTCTGCCACTTACAGCCTGCAGTTTACGTTAACAGCGGGATCATTACCTTTTTCACCTTCAGTTATGCAGACAGTCCCAAAATTGGCCTTCACACTCCGAAGCAATCCAAATCCTTCATTTCTTTGGACAGTCAGTCTAGTGAGAATATTGTATTTTACATGTAATGGCCATAGGAATATAATGGTCCCACTGTACATACATACACTTACATCTTACATCTTAAAGGAATCCTGTAATACCTTTAAGAACAAACGATCATCATGGCTGTAGCTTTTTTTATGGCGGCAAAAATCAGTAAAGAAGGAAAACGTGCCACTTAATGTAAGCCAGTATTTTAACATACATGAAGATAACAGCAGATCTCAGGCAGCAACAGAGCTCTGCAAATCGGTGGGATGCTTGTGAGTACAAATGCTCTAACAATTCCAGTGTGCAGTAGCTGTGCAAGACTTAATCATGCTTACTAAGGTCTATTAGAAGTACAGCAATGCGTCATCATGCTGAATCCTGAGCAGGTATGGGAGAAGAGAGAAATCCTTCCAGGACTGTCTTTTTGCAGCATGCTTGCCCTTGTCTCCAACATGGATTTACATAGAGGATCCTGGGTGTATGGAGTTCATTGCAGGCTCAGGTTTGTAAAATGTCAGAACCGATAATCCTTTCCTTGGCTCTGGAAGTCAGAGTCTCCCCTCAGTTGTCCTTGAGGAAGGAAGCTAAATCATTACTCTGGATTTGGGAGCAATATTTGAGTGAGAAGTTCTTCCTGACTGTGATGCAAAATGATACAAGTACCTCAGCAGTCTTGCATTCATGAAATTGCAGTGCTGCTTATCATCAAATTAGCAATACCCACTTCTCTTGCAAATGGGCTCCTTTATAGTCTAACTGGAAGGATGCAAGTACTGAAAAGTGGCCAGTGATACACTATGTACCATTATTTTCTGTGTTGACAGTTGAGAAAATAATATCATAGCATAAAAGTGCAGTTTGCATCGTTTATTGGACTAAAAACAGTTTAAAAAGCAAGAAATAAACCCCGCTGTTAGAAAAAAATGTGTTGAGGTAGATGAACCTTCATTCTGGGAACTACATTCTTGTCTGCAGATCATTTGCAGGAATGGACTAATGCTTTTCCTTTTCCTTGTATACAAATGTAGAACAAGCTGAGCAATCAAGAATTGGATACCAGCCCATTTAAGGAAGATCACTGCATTTAGTTTTGCTGTTTGACCTCAGCAGCAGAGTGGTGTGACTGAAAATATACCTGCGCCGCACAAAATTGAAGTCTACTAGACAAACAATAGCAGCGTCGTTTTCTAAAGCATCCTTGAAAAATACTCGTACATAATTTCTTGCTAAGATTGATCTCTGCCAGGAAACTTAAATAGTTGGTTGCTACTTTAAATAGTAATCGGTTTTGGTGACTGTCAATTGAAACTCAACTTCGTGTAGGGTTTCATTCCACAGAAGGTGCAGGGAGGAATACAAGGGGCTGTGTTACCTTATAGCGGCCTTAAGATAATAATTGATATGAGGTGGTCTAAAGATTTACAATTTGGTCACCCATGGCACTCACCCCACAGCTTCCAGCTGCCCTGTTGCTTCCCTGGAGAAGCCGGCCTTCCCTAGGAGAAAGTCTCCCTCACACAGTAGCCCCTGCAGAAATGCCTTGAGATACTACACCTGAGTGCTCCCTTGATGATACTACAGGTGATACTGTTTGAGAAGGTAATATAAAAGTGCCCAAAGGGACGATGATTAAGCTCCCCAAGAGAAGAATGGGAAACTGAGGAGAAGCACAACCCTAGCTGAGGAACAGGACTGGAGAGGTGGCTTTACTCCCTGTAGCCATCCTGTGTAGCTTTAGGTTCATGTCACATAAATTCATGTTTTTAAATGTATTTAGGGCTTAAAGATGCAGGTGAGTGCCTTTGGTTAGACTCCAGAGCCTCTAAAAATGGCAGTTAAATAGCTCCCCAGCTTTGGGGACCTGTATCTTGGTTCTCCACTTGCACACTGGAAGTAATTGTGGCTCTGCCATGAAGACAGCTATACCAGAGCCTGTGATGCGCCTGGGTACCATGGTGATGATATCTCTGCACAGCCCTGCAGGCAATAAGTCATCTCTTTGCCTTATTTGCCTCGCTGCTAAATAATGTTCAGCCTGTGCTACTAGTGTGCCATGATGCCTTGATATAGATGATTTTCAGCAGCTGAGGTTCGGCCATGAGATTACTGACTTGTTTCCTTCACTGAGATGAGTAAGAGTAGGGAAGAAATTATGTGTCATTGTTCATTTTCCCCCACTGTGAAGCATTAATTGGTGACTGAATGCAAAATTTCCTTTCCCCCATTCGTTCTTACAGGACTCACATAGGAGTTAATTGCCAAAAAGAAAATTTCATGATATAACAGTATAAAGGATGACAAAGCCTATGTGGGGGTGGAACAGTTTGAAATGCTGGCAGGTCCTAAGGACGCTACTCTAATAATACTCCTCCTTCTTTGGCAATAGGAAGTAGGCAAAATAATCTGTGATGTAATGGTCTGACTTGGCATTTACAGCTTGCAAGCCAGTGTTTAGCGACTCAGCAGTTTAGGATTACAGAATTAGCAGCAGAGAGAAATATTGTTGCTTGAAATTGTGACATGGTATTGTAAACTTCCTTCTTTTACAGATTCGGTTAAACAGCAGAGGACTTATCTATTCTGTTGGTCTCCTGCTGGCATCTGTTTTTGTCACAGTATGTATATTGTCTTTTGTTCTTCATTTCCTAAAGCGTGATGTTTATAGACATTTTCTTCACCTGTTCCTTTCTCACCCCCAGCTGTAATACTGGTTGCAAAGTCTGCTGTTAAGGGATAGGAGTGGTCACTCCTATTGTAAACTTCCCAAGACCTTAACCTGGCGCTTTGCAGAAGCTATCACTGTCACAAGACGGCTCTCGTATTTGTATCTTTTCATGGGAGAAGCCCGGGAGATCCATTAGTAATCATTAGTTGTTTTTCATGATGGAGTTGAAGCAGATCCCTTGATGTATGACAAGATCCATTCTCCTGTTGGACAGGTAGACAAAATGCCATACAGTTTGCTTTGGCCCTCTGTAGCAACCTTCTGAAATACAACACAGACCAGAACATATAGTGCCTGGACATGACAATGTTTCTATTGAAATCAGTGCCTCGCGTTCCCTGACCTGTCTGAGTCCAGCATAGCAGACTAGAAATGATAGAGCAAAGAGGATTTATGTGACATCTTCCAAATCTTGAGACCAGCTGCTGTAGGGAGTCCTGCTGTGCGTTGCACACCAACACAATTCCCACATACGCAAGACTTTAATCTTTTAAGAGGTTTGTGCGGGAGCAAACTATGCAAAGTCAAGCACAGCCTTAGACCGTGTGGCTCTAGATTGAGATGCAGAGGGGCACATGAAGTATTTTGAGTGAAGAGAAAGGAATCTGGCCTTTGAAAACATTTCTGATGGAATTAAATGGGATTGTTCATACCAAAATGAAATTCATTGCAGAAACTAAAGGCCCTTGGGCCAGGACTCGAGGTGATGTAAGTCAGTGTGGCATCGCTGACTGTGAGGGGGCTACTCTGATTTACTTCAGCTGTGGTCTTCAGCTCACTTGTTGCAGTACTTGCATTGTGATTGCTTCCAGGTGACCGTGATTAGTAAGGGGAGTGTCACCTTCATGCTCCTGTAATTGAGAAGGGGATTTACCGCTTTATTCAAAATGTTCTTGCTGTGGTGGCTTACTCTGTGTTTATTGTAGGTTTTTGGCGTCCACATGAACAAATGGAAACTGGATAAGAAGCTAGGGTGTGTGTGCCTTTCCCTTTACGGCATCTTCCTGTGTCTCTCCATCATGACAGAATTCAATGTTTTCACTTTTGTGAACTTGCCAATGTGCAGAGATCACTAACGCAGGTGGCAGACTGTCGGAAGGAACTTTCTTCTTACCTGTGCAATACAAACCACGGCTGGCATCTTCTGAATGCGGTGCACCTCCAAGTCGTGACGTATATCCTGTTCACTGTTCATAGGACCCATGGCCCCATCTAGGTCTGCCCTCTCCCTGACCCCCCTCCCCGCCCCAACCTGGAAAAATCCTGCATCGATGTGAAGATTATTTTTTTCAACATTCATGTGATTTCCTAGCTCAGTTTTTGAACAGTGTGACTGGGACTCTAGATGAACTGGCTGCTAACTGGCGTCAAGCCAGGCAAAACTGGTCTGCTACAGTTCCTTCTTTTTTTAAGTTATTTGATGGAAGACTAATCTAATTTATGACTTAAGACTATTGCTACAATGCAGAAGAGGATACATCATACAGGGGCTGATTTTCAAGGAGAATCATGGGATTTTTTTTGGTTGGTTTTTTGTTTGAATTTTTTTTTTTTTTTTTTTAAGTTTTGTGGTTTGGGGGAGGGGGGTGTTTTTGGTTTTTTGTTTTTTGTGGTTTTTTTTTTTAATTGCCAGAGATCAACGTCCTCTCTTGCAGCTTCTCCTTCTGAGAGCTGGGTCTCCTGTAACAATCCAAAGGTCACAGGGCGGTGTAATATGGGAATACAAGTCAAGGTACCTGGCGTATGAATGGATTTACTGCGTATTAAAAGAAGATCATCAAGCAAACAGATGATGACTTTTTACCATAAATAATGAATCTTGTACAGGGGTGATGAGGAATGCAAGGTAAACGTGGATTCAAAGGGTAAACACTGCTACCATTTTACTACTAATGTTGGAGTTTTATTACTAGGGTGTTTATGGTATTTCCAAGCAATAGTTTGATCGCCAGCCCAGGAGGGCTACCACGGAAGTATCCTGGTTTTTAATGATCTGCATGTGGAGATAGAAGGTCAGAACTTTCTCTGCTTCATCAGATTTCTTGTTTTGGGGGGATTCAATAGTTCATGTCTTATTTGTTCTGAGAAGGACAGACGTACATTGGAACTTTTCTAAATGAGTTACAGACACTGGTTTCTTTAAAAGGAAAGAGGCATATTTTGCACAGACATAGTTACTGAAGTCATAATTTGCCACTCTTTAAAGAATACACTGGACCTGGCCAGATATTTGTCTTCTTAAGCAGTTGAACTTGCCTGATAACAGATCATGTGGATTCATCACCCCTCCTTTGGGAGGGAGGAAGACACAGAGAGAGAGATGGCACTTTTTAAAATGTGGAATATCTTCAATGCAGACTCGTTCACCGTTCTTAAGTTATTGTGAAAGTTTAGCTATTCATTGTTCCAATATTCCTGCTAGATTTTGTATAATTCTGTATTAACATGCAGGCAGATTCCACCCCATGAGAAACACCATCACAGCTTCATTTGTATGTATTGATACTGTGGATTCTTGCCAGTGCTGGCTCTTGTATTTACTTCTGATTCTGCACTGATCACTTATGATTCATTTGGTATGTTTTTTCCTCTTTCTTGTATATGTTCTACTATGAAATGTATTAAGATACTACCAGCTAGGTGAATGTTTTTGTCTATGGTACAAACAGTGGCAAATATTGGTAGTAAATGCACAGCAAACCCTACCTAAAAGAAAGAAAGGAAAAAAACCCCAAAACACCAAACGCTAAACTATAGCAGGAAAAAACCCCTCCAATTTAAAAAAAAAAAAAAGAAAAAGAAAAGAGAGCGCCCCATTTAACAGACAGAAAGCCAATTTTTATTTCATTTGCACTTTTGGAAGTGATTTTCAGTTTAGTTTTGTTTGGGCAAAATGTTGCAAATGAAAATATTTACACCCTGTGGTTTCTGTTCAGCTCAGCACCTGATTTTCTTTCTTTGTTACACTAAATGTGTGGAGGCACTGGCAGCCGTTGCACTGTGTGTGGCGAGGGGGTCCAGTGGAAAAAGCCGTGTACCGCTGGCCTCAGTGAACAAAGTGTGCTTGTGGATCCCTGGCAAGAAGAAGGAAGGGTCCAGGGACAGGCGGTAGAGAGAGTCAATGACATGCCTGCGTCGTCATTTTTCGTTCTGGGAAACAATTGTGTTGCTACTTGTTGAGCTATGCAGCCTGTTGTTTGAGCAGCCTTCTCGTAACTATGCCCGCTGGAAGTCCTCTTGCGTTAGGAAGCCCGCTGTACCTTCCCGTTGTTGGTTTTTTTTGTTGCTGTTGTTTCTTTTTTTGTTATTGTTAAGGAGATTAATAATAATAATAACCACTAAAATGCCTAAAATACTTCCTTAAATCAAACGATGTTAGCAACAACGTGGCACATTTCACTAAAATCCACCCCACAAACACACAGCTATACTCTTGTAGCAAGATGCAGTTGCTCCTAAGCAGAGTGTTTCCTTGCTGACAGAAGGGACGGATTTGGGGAAGGAAAAAAAAAAAAAAAGAGAAGTTTCACATCAGGGCCTATTATTACTTCTATTTTGAATATTTATACTGCTGCTCCAATGGAGCCAGTTGGATCTATTTCTACGAAATAGCCATTACCTATCCCGTGGCACAAAAACTGCATGAGTATTTTTTAGGAACTTTTCCTATCGGTGTGCATTAAATACTGTAGTATATCATAGCTTTGCATTGTGTGTAAAACCTGAAATACCTTGTTTTGACACTTGTGTGTTGTGCAAGAATATTCTGCAAGTTGTTTGTTCTAAGCAGAAGCAAAAGGTACATTGAACTGCCATTATCTGTGCCATATATGAATTGATAAGCACTTCCTATATTGACAGTTTCAGTGAGATGTGCTTACAATTTGCAACCAAATCAACCAGTGCGGACCTGGTTTGGAACAGGACAGACCAACTGAATGTGTGCATTCTTGTTTTTGTCTCCAAAAGAGAGAGCTTCTCAAGTTTGTTAGCATAATCAAAGCCTGTGGAAAAGCCCCCAAAGCAAAAAACTTGAGCAATTTTTAGCATCCTTCCTGTACGACATCACCAAAACTCAGATGGACAGTTATATTCAAATGCAGTGCGTATTAATAGCTTTACTTTACCGAGCCAAGCAGAGGACTGAGAGTCTGAGGGGTTCTCTCCTCCC